CTTTTCTTTGGCTTGATGGGACTTACCGGTAGCGGTCGAAGGAACTGAGTGGGAGGCGGCTCTCTCCCCCACTCCAGGCATGCGCAGTATGTGCCTGCTCCCCAGGGCGGGAAGAGAGCCCGCCAAAAGCTTTTTGAGGCAAAGCTCTAGAAGTTTCTCTGGTCGAGGTCGTGCACAGGCACCCAACCCACTCGAAGGTCATCAGTTACAGGTAAGCAACCTGTTTTCCTATGGCCTGGTCGGAAACTGGACTGGAAGGGATCTAATACGGAGGTGTCATCCAAAAAACCCTGCAGCTGGATCACCACTGCCCTCTCAATTAGTTTGCCCAGATAGGGCAGATTGGATACCGGCCGGTAATTAGCCAATTCGGCTGGATTCCAAGGATGACTTTTTTAGGAGAGGGCGGACTAGGGACTTGTTGATGATCTCCCTTAGTGCACCTCGTAACCCATCACAGCCAGCTTTAATTAGCCATGATGGGCACAGATCAAGGCTAGAAGTGGTCCGGCGAACAGATGAGAGTAATTCGTCAACCTCCTCTAGGCTGAGTAGACTAAAATAATCCAGAACTTGACAAGAAGATGCGCATGGAGCCTCGAGTTCCTTTACTGTCTCAATTGTGGTGGGGAAATCATGGCGGAGCGCCAAGATTTTATCTGCGGAATAGCTCGCAAAAGCCTCACAGACAATCTCCAATTCCTTATCACTTGGTCTACCCTGTGGCAGAGTAGTAATAGATCGAATTGTTCTAAACAATTGGGCTGGGTGAGAGCTCGCAGACACAATCGTAGCCACGTAGTGTTTTTGTGACCTTGACCGCCATCTCATAGGATCTCATAAACGTCCCATAGGATGCTCTTGTTGCTTCGTCTCGAGCGCATCGCCACTGTCTCTCTAGTCGTCTAAGCCCCCACTTCATCAGCCTCAGCTCCTGTGACTACCACGGAGCGAGTCTAGTAGCCCTCTCCGTGGGAACTTGTGTGGCACTGCTGCTTTGGCCGTCTGGCTGCTGCCTTCGATTCCGCCCCCACCCCTGCGCTGCCTTGCCAGGCCTTCTCATCTTGCCAGCTGCTTGCTGCAGGCCGCTGAGCCTCGGAACAGCCACCCCGTGGGCTTATCAAAAGGAGAGGCTCACAAACAGGAAATGCTTTCCCAGTGCGCGGCAGAGCTCAGGCGCTGCGCTTTGTCTCCCAGTACACACAGGATTAGCCACGGCAAAAACAAAAATCCCAGGCCAGGGTCGAGAACCCTCCTTTGACCCACTCTGATGGCTGTGAGCTTGGATGAAACAGAGAGGGCTGGGTTAAAAAAACGTCCCACAGGAGAACACCGCACCTTTCCAACTACGCAGGGTTGCCAGTTGTTTGAGGGGGGACAGCTGTTGAGGAACCCTCTTGTTTTCTCTTTGATTGGAAGGGGGGGATCTGCCCCCTCCTGGGGGGGGGGTTGTCCGAAAGGTTCTTCTCTTGAGGCCAAGCTGGCTGGCACTAGGTCTTGTGTGCTGCTGTCCTCCAGTAGTATTCCTCAGGCCTTCCACCCTATGTGGGAAGCTCCCCTCCTTCCAACTAGCATTTCTTAAAGCCAGATGACTAGCGGGCAACCATCCCCTGCTCTGGGCCACCAGCTGCTGCCTCTGGCACACCTGTCCTGCGGCAAAGCTCACTCTGCATTTTTTGCCAAACCCTTTGCCAGCTGGGGCTTACATCTGATGACATTTCCAGATTGATAAGTGCTGGAAAATGTCAGCGCTGAAGTCATTGCTTTGGCCAGCTGGAATGGGTAGTCTATCGATTCCAGACTTGACACACCTGATTCCTGTCCGCTTCATGTCAGTGGGGGAGGGGGCTCAGTACTAACACAGTTTGTCCTCCCAGTGGTGTTTCAGGGAACCCTCTGGAGTTCCTTGGAAGCTTTTTAAAGGGCTCTTCAGTAAGAACAGTAGTAACAGCAGCGGCAGCAGCTGGCTCTGCAGTGCAAGGCTGTGTTCTCTGGATAACTGATTCACAACAAACCTGTGGCCAGCACTCCATGTGATTCATGTGCCACAATTATGCTCCCCGGAATCCTCAGCATTTACCAGCAGATAGTTAAAATGAATAGTCATAGAACGAAGATTGTGGTCAGCCAGGAAGAATCATCTCGGTTGCCAACTCTATATTTTGGGTTCAGGCAACATTATTAAGTCCTTTTCAAACAAGAATATGGCTTTTGCTCTGAATGGGAACATCTCGAGCAGACATCTCACTGAAGTAAGGGGGGCTTCCCCAAGAGCCATCAAAGAACTTGTGAAAGCAGAAGATACTGATGGCTTGTGATTTGAGGTCTCTCTTTCCCCTGGGAACTGAGTTCAGTTCCAAGGAGACTGCTTTGCAGGAAGGGAGTTTTCCAAATTTATACACAAACCCACACACTTGGCTTCCCAATTCCAGAGAGCTGATTTTTTGACTTGGCTTTTGGGAAATGGAGTGAGTTTCCAGGCTTCTCTCTGATCCATTGAGTAATAGCTGGTCTTTGCAGCTTTGATTGTTTTGCATTCTTTGATTTTGGAGGGTTTTTTAAATTTATGGGGCGGAGAGAGATTATGTACACACAGTGGCTACTTCCACAAATGTCTTCCTCTGGCTTGGCTTCCTAACAGCAGCAATGTTTTCTGGAGCGTACACATGATGTTGATCTACTAGTTTCCAGTTGTTGTTGTTTTTAAGTTTCTCCTTATTTCCATAGTAGAATTATAAGGGGAAAAGGTGCAGCCTGCACTTTTTCTCTCAAAACTCCACAGTGAAAAGGACTAGAGAATTACCGTACTTTTTTTTTAAAAAAAATGAAAGCTAGGAACTACTGAAACATGGCAATATATTGTTTTGGTGTACTGGTTAGGAGCACAGACTCTTAATCTGGAAGAACCGGGTTTGATTCTCCACTCCTCCACATGCAGCTGCTGGTGTGACCTTCAGTCAGTCACAAGTTGTTTCACTGCTGTTCTCTCACGAGCAGTTCTCAAAAGAGCTCTCTCAGCCCCACCTACCTCACAAGGTGTCTGTTCCGGGGAGGGGGAGGGAAAGAAGATTGTAAGCCACTCTGAGACTCCTTCGGGTAGTGAAGGGCGGGGTATAAATCCAATCTCTTCCTCCCCCATCCTCCTCCTCGTCCCTTCTTCTAATCTAGTAATTCCTGGTTTTAAAAAAGGAAACCTGTCGTGAAAGGGGGAGTTGTTGCTGTGTTGGGTTGAGGCAAGGGAAACATAAGAAATCCTGGTGCTTGGATTTATTTTGAAAAATTCTGTGGATGCTCAGTTGCCATTGCAAATTGCTCTGCAGGAGTAAGACCTAACAGAGAATTGTCTTCCTGTGGAAAACAGCCAGTGAAATGAAGCTTAGATACATTTTAGAAACAGTTACGCAAAGAAACTTGCCAAAGTCTAGCAAGTCTGTAGTAGCAAGATGCCGGAGCGTCAGAGCTACTCACTAGCTGAGTTTGGTGGATGAAGCCTTTTGTCTACACTTCAGTGGAGTAGGTTTGGGAAACGCCAGCTAGAGTCTCTGTGTGGAGAGAAGAGCAGACCAAGGTGACCAGGACGACATAGGAACTAAGTAGTGGGAAGTCCAGAGCCTTCACAGTGTGTGAGCAGCTACTGCCTGCAGTCAGTGATGGATGATGTCTAGTTGGCTCGGTGATGACCACCTATACAGAGATCATCAGATTGGCAGGGAGGTGGGCGGGTGGGCGATCAGCTTCGAGACATCAAAGGGAAGAGTGGGAGGGGTCTCCCTGCCCTGCTATTAAAAACTATGCTTGGGCAAGAAGAAAACCTAGTCCAGGGGGAATGAGTGCTCTTCCTCCACCCCCTACCATTAGGGAATCTGGTGCCAATTTAACAAAGCCTTGAGAAAGACAGGAGTGCTCCATCTATGAATATCAGCTGTTTAATGGGCCTTTTGTAGAACCAGCAACAAACATCAATTTAAACTTCAATGTAACCACAAAAGGAAATTTCCCCCTTTAGAAGACTTTCAAGCAAGGAGAAGCGGGTGTACAATTCTAGAAACTCCTGTTGGGGTTGTGTAAAAAGGATGTAAATTGACTGGTAGCTATTAGATCGTACAAACTGATTATTATTGTTGGTATTGCATGTAATGAATATATACCTGTTTTAGAATATTATGAATAATACACAATGTACTTTATAAGATGGAACATATAGAACACTTTAACATAAAAAGTTTTTTGTAGTATATAGATTTGTTGTTTGACTCTTCTAACACTGTAGCTCAAGTTTCCACAGCCATTCTGGAAGGGGCAGAGTGAGCCCATTTGCTTCTCTGGCATTCCAGGATAGGGCCTTTTCAGTAGTGGCACCAAAATTATAGATTTCCCTCCCCGGGTAGATTCATCAGTCTCCCTCTATCATTGTATTCTGTCAGTGGGTGAATCCTTTTCTGGGGGTTTTGATATTCCTTCACTGGCCTTCCTTCCCATTTGTGTTTGGTATGGTGGTTAAGAATGGCAGACTCTAATCTGGAGAATCGGGTTTGAGTCCCCCCTTCTCCACATGCAGCTGCTGGGTGACCTTGGGTCAGTCACAGTTTTCTCAGAGCTGTTCGCTCGAGAGCAGTCCTCAAAAGAGCTCTCTCAGCCCCACCTGCCTCACAGGGTGTCTGTTGTGGGGAGAGGAAGGGAAGGAGACTGTAAGCCGCTCTGAGACTTTTTCAGGTAAAGAAAAGCAGGGTATAAAAACCAACTCTTCTTCTTTTCTTTTTAACTATATGTAAGTGGGTTTTAATGTTTTTGACTGTTTGCCACCTTAGTGACCCTAAGTTAGGTGGAAAGGCAGCGTGAACACAATTTAAATAAAAATAAAATTCTGAGCAGTGCTGCCTTCAGGTCAGGAACTGAGGCTGACTGCCTCCCAAAGTCCAAGGTGTTGAAAAAACCCCACTAGTTTTGCTGCCATGGTGACATAGCCTGGCCCCCTGATGCCATCTGCTCCCTCTTCTCAGAGACGACTCAAAGACCAGCCATGCTGCCAAGAAGTCCACTGCCACCACGGCTATTGACTACGCTGAACTGTTACAGCACTTCGAGAAGGTCCAGAACAAACATTTGCAGGTCCGGCACCAGCGAGCCAACCGTGGAGAGACCCTGGACCGGAGAGCAATCCTCTAGAGGCTCAGTCCAGAGAACAAGAGGAGTGCGGGAGCAACACTGGATGCTGTGGTATTAACCGGGTGCCAGCTGCTGGCCCCCAAATGCTGCTAAAATTGCATGGTTGAGGAGGAACAGCGGAACTGGCTTGCGGTGAGCAAATGCAGTTGCCCCGTGCAGGGGACCTTCCACACTCTCTGGACACAGTTTGCTGCAGGAACGGGGGAAGGAGGCGCTCCGACCCGCCCTTCAGCACGTGTTTTCTTCTGGCAGTGGGGCAAAGTCCTGGACTTCACTGGTGCCTTCCCTTGTGACAGTCTAGTCTCTGTTGCCGTTGTACAGTTGGGGGGACGGGGGGGGGGGGGGGGGGAGGCAAAGGGAGGATTTTCATGCTGCTTCTCATCAGAGGGAAGAGAGAGTCTGCAGGAAACACACCCCCTGCTTCGCTCTCCCAGCTGATCTGGCCAACCTTTCAGGTTGCAGAAGACAGGAGCACTTCATCCCCCCCCCCTCCAGGCTTGCACTTGCCAACTGCCTGTGGTTAATTCCCATCAAGCCCCTCTTCCACGCCCCCCCCCCAATCACGTATATGGACTGCTCAGCCTTAACCTCCAGCTAAATCCATGTGTGTGTATATATAGATCTCTATAGACCAACAGGATTTCTAGACTGAGAACCTTTGTACTGGTGTCAAACTTCCCTTATATTGAAATAAAACTGAGATGGCAAAACCCTTGCAGAGGGGGCACTTGATTTCTGGGTGTGTGCATCTCTTCCCGTGCAGCCGCAGCGCTGGCCGGACACACGGGCACTGGTATTGTTAGAATTCAGGATGCGGTCCTGTCCTGAGGTTCTGAGCCAGGCTGTAACGTTCTGAAAACCAAGCACATAGCAGCTATCATAAAATCATGCTTAGTGATTAAGAAATTTCCTAGGACCTACAGCTATCCAACACCAGGCTAGGGAAGAGTTATTAGCCCCGGAAAGGGAAAGCCCAGGGCCCCATACTTGCAGGTGGGGGGGGGGGGTTTGCGCATATTATATTGGGGAAACCAGCTTGAGCTGAAAAGCCATCACCATGTTATGGAGAATTTATATCACTGCAGAATTTTTTTTTTAAAGACTTGTGAGATTATAAGTCTGGAATGGCAGCCAGAGGTTTAGTGTTTCTACTGGACCTATAGAAATCACCTTTGCACTCTAGATTGTGTGAGAATGTCTCAGGTCCTGGATTGAAGTGAAGGAGGGAGGAGTCTGGAGCAAAAGTTGATCCGTGACCTCTCCTTTTCCCCTTGATCATGTTGCAAAGAATCCTATGTGAGGAAGGGGAGGGTTTGCCCAACAGCGAGACTGGTGGTGGATTTGCTATTGCACGGATGATGCTCAAGCCCGCAACAAGGAGACCTCAGTCATGTTTCGTTTCTGGAATAAATAAAAAGAAGGGAGCAAATGCCCTTCAGAAGATGCCCGCAGTGACCGTGTGCAAAGGAGTCACAAAGAGCTTAGGAGCGCCTTGGCCCCTGCAATGGAGCCCATCAACTGAACGCTGGTGGGAGGGAAAGCCACTCAAGAGGAAATCTTAGTAGACATCTACATGGAGTGTTTTGCTACAGTACTTGGTGATAGGAGAGGGGCTGTGGTCAAGTGCCTGCTTTGTACACAGAAGGTCCCACTTAAGAGCATCTCGGGCAGTAGGAAATATCTTTCTCTGCTCAAGACTTTGGGGAGTCAGAGTACACAGTTCAGTGGCTTAACTGCATCAGGAAGCTTCATGTCTTCCTATGATGCACAGAGAGACAAGCCAAAGATCCCCAGTTTCTTGGGCAAGATCAAGAGGACTGAGCTCTGAAGACCTTCCCTATAAGGTCTCAGTGTCGGGGGGGGGGGTGTCTTCTGCTCTGAGCTGTGGGAACATGGAATCATCCTCCTTTCTCACATAGTCTTGGGGTTTTCCTGGCTCTAGAGATTTTTAAAAAATAGATGCTGTTTCAAAATAAGCCATGGTATCTACTGTGTGTTCCCCAAACTGAACTTTGCCTCCAGACCCTGAGGAGTTAAGGAATGTTCTCCCCACCAACTAATCCAAAAGATAAATCTGGAATGGGGGAATGCCTCTTCTTGCCCCCACAATTATTACTGGGACACTAAGAACCAGCCATTTCACTCTTCCTTCTAGTGAAGGGGGGAGGGCTTGAATCAGGAAAGTGCCTTCGCAGTGCCAGTTTCTGGGCCCGAAGGGAAGCTCTTCTCCCTCCACCAGGTAAAGAAAGGGTACAGCAACTTGGAGCCCTTGGAAAAAAGGGGGGGGGGTCAAAGATACGCTTCACAAGCTCTGTCCACGGCTGCCCTGCAAATTCTGTAGCTCCAGGAAAGAGGCCTGTCACGCTTTCCCCATGACAGCTGTTGGCACTATCCCAACTGTTGTAGGGCAGGAAGTGAGCTACTGGCATTAAAGTTGTGAGCGAGTGATTTGGCTACTGCCTAAATTAGTCTGTTCTGGAGTCATCCTTCCTGAGCAAGGACAAAAATGTGTGAGCCGTAGGCTAAAAAACTGTGAGCTAGCTCACACTAACTCAGCTTAGAGGGAACATTAGCTAAGAATTTTCCAGTGGTAAGAAATCCCAGGATCATCCTGTACTTTGATTCATGTACATATTAACTGTGTGCTCTTGCGGGGAATTCTGGAGACTGCCCCCCCTCCTATTACTTCATTGCCAAGCTACTGCATAAAGCAGACTTTCCACATTACTGAAGGAGAGATGTACTTTTCCCTCATAAGCTGCCTGCCTTCTGTGTTACCGAGCGTGGCTGCACACTGGAGGCACAGTGACACACCTGATCCTGAAGCCTTACACTGAATCAGACCCTTGGTCCACGAAGGTCAGTCTTGTCCGCTGTGAATGGCAGAAGTTCTTCAGGGTCTCAGATCTGGGTCTGTCACACACCCTTTCCTACCTGGCCCTGACTCAACAGGCAGGCCCTCTGCCCTCTGCAGTGGGAGCAAGTGAATGGCTCAATCACGGCCTATGCGAGAGTATCATCACCAGTGTTCCCTCTAAGCTGAGTTAGTGTGAGCTAGCTCACAGTTTTTTTAGCCTCTGGCTCACAAGTATTTGTCTTAGCTCAGGAAGGATGGCTCCAGAGCAAACTAATTGATGCAGTAGACAAATCGCTGGCTCACACCTTTTTAATGTCAGTAGCTCACAAAGAAGAATGTTTGCTCACAAGACTCCACAGTTTAGAAGGAACATTGATTCATCACCCCCCTCTCCTAAGCCATCTGAAATCTAGGAAAAATTCTGCAGCTGGTACATTTTAGCCTCATTCTCCATGCTGCAGGGCCCTGGCTGGGGCGAACTGCTTCTGCGTTAGAATAAGCCACCTGGGACATTCTGTAGGCAATCGGCACAGCGAAAATGGAGTCCCTTCCCACCTTACAGGCTATATCGGGTCAGTATGGACTAGAGTCCACTGTCGCGGAGTCCGTTGCAAGAGGGCCCGCAAGCCTCGCCATCTGCCGAAGAGCGCTGTGGGCCTCTCAAGCCTGCGCAGCTCCCAGCCAGCCAGTCGGTTCGTTTACCCGTTTTGTCTCTTCCGTCCTTGGGCATCCACCCACCACCCCACATCGCCACAGTCTAGCGCACGGGTCTGGCAGACTGTCTGCCAAGGAGCGGGGGCCGCCCGTCTGGCACCGGGGCGAATCCCGTCGCCGCTCGACTGTGATGCGGCAGCCGAGGGGAGGGAGCGAGTCCGGCTTCATTCAGCTCGCCTTCGAGGGGGCGCGGCGCTGGGGGGATGCAGGGACCAGCAGCGGCGCGCCCGGCCTGGCGGAGGAGCCCCCGGAGGGCAGCTTGCCCTGTCCCCCAAGCGGGCAAAGCCCCTCTGGGCAACCGCAGTAGCCGCGCCTCGTCGCCAGCCGCAGAGACGAGCTGCGGTCCCCGGCGAGGCGCCCGGTCCGTCGCGCTCCGCGGGCCTTCCTTGGGCAGGAGCTGCCGCGGCGCTCCTTCCCTCCCGCCCGCCCTCCCGCCCGCTTTGAGCCTCCGGCTGCGGCCCG